GCCTCTGTAGGTGTCCTGGTGGATTCATATGGTCAGGTGAGGTGGGCCGCCGAATTCGGTGGCCGGCCCAGGTGCCCAGGTGCCCGGGTGCCTGGGTGCCTGGGGGTGCCCGGAGGTGCCCGGGTGCCCATGGTTGCCCGCAGGTGCCCGGTGCCTGGGGGGGCCTGGAGGTGCCCGGGAGTGCCCGGGTGCCCGGGTGCTCGGGTGCTCTATCGCCCTTATAGCCCTATAGCCCTATAGCCCTATAGCCCTATAGCCCTTTAGCCCTCTAGCCCTATAGCCCTATAGCCCTATAGCTCTATAGTCCTATAGTCCTATAGCCCTATAGCCCTATAGCCTTATAGCCCTATCGCCCTATAGCTATATAGCTCTATAGCCCTATAGCCCTATAGTCCTATAGCCCTATAGCGCTATAGCCCTATAGCTCTATAGCCCTATACCCAATAGCCCAATAGCCCTATAGCCCATATAGCCCTATAGCCCTATAGCCCTACAGCCAAATAGCCCAACAGCCCATATAGCCCTATAGCACTATAGCCCTATAGCCCTACAGCCCTATAGCCCTATAGCCCTATAGCCCTATAGCCCTATAGCAATATAGCCCAATAGCCCTAGCCCTATATTCCCATAGCCCTATAGCCCTATAGCCCTATAGCTCTATAGCTCTAGCCCTATGGTCCTATAGCCCTGTAGCCCTATAACCCTATAGCCCTATAGCCCAATAGCCCTAAAGCCCTATAGCCCTGAAAAAAATCTGATTTGGATGTTCTCCGGTATCATTATTATTGTCATAATCATCATCATCATCATCATCATCATCATCATCATCATCATCATCATCATCATCATCATCATCATCATCATCATCATCATCATCATCATCATCATCATCATCGTCATCATCATCATCATCAGCAGCAGCAGCATCATCATCATCAGCATCATCATCAGCAGCACCAGCAGCTTCATCATCAGCATCAGCATCATAATCATCATCATCATCATCATCATCATCATCATCATCATCATCATCATCATCATCAGTATCATCATCAGCAGCATCAGCATCATCATCATCAGCAGCAGCAGCTGAATCATCAGCATCATCATCATCGTCATCATCACCTTCATCGTCATCATCACCATCGTCGTCGTCATCAGAATCATCATCAGAATCAGCATCAACATCTACATCACAATAATCATCCTCATCATCAGCATCATCATCACCATCCGCAGCATCAGCATCATCAGATACATCGTCATCATCATCAGCATCACCAGCATCTTCATCATCATCAGCATCATCATAATCAGCAGCAGCTTCATCATCATCGTCAGCCTCATCATCAAAATCATCAGCAGCATCAGCATCCGAATCATGATCGTCATCAGCATCGTCATCATCAGCATCAGCATCATCAACAACAGCATCAGCAGCAGCATCAGCATCATTAGCATCATCATCATCATCAGGATCATCAGCAGCAGCATCATCATCCACATCAGAATCAGAATCAACAGCATCATGATCATCATCATCAACATCAGCAGCATCGTCATTAACAGCAACAGCATCATCATCATCATCATCATCATCATCATCATCATCATCATCATCAGCATCATCATTGTCAGCATCAGCATCATCATCATCATAATCATCATCCGTATCCTCATCCTCATCAGCATCCTCATCTTCAACCTTATCCTCATCCACATCATCAACATCCCCCACTCCAACCCAAGCACTGGCCTGAACGAACAGCCGTGGAACTGCCGCCTCGGGGCCCCTATAAGTCAGGTCAGTGTTCCGACCGACCAGCCGAGGAACTCCTCCACCACCCCGTCGAGGAACTGAACTCCTCCCCTCGGAAGAGTCGCAGCGGGAGCAGGAGTTGGGAGGCACCTGCTGGGAGGTCCTCGTAAGAACGAGGAAGGGCTGTCAAGCCCGATCAAGGAGCCACTGAGCCGCATCAGCCCAAAGGAATGCTGGGATTCAGCGGGAGGGGGAGCAGAAAAGCAGTCAGGTCAGCGCTGGGGTCCAAGGGCGTTGATACAGTGCCAGCGGACAGCCCGAGCACTGTCCTGATCGATCAGCTGTGGAGTTGCCGCCTTCAGGGCCACAGCAAGTCAAAACCAGTGCCCAGGCCACCACAAGTCTTAGGTCGGGCATGTCCTCTTAGTTCTATATATATATATACTAGCACCATCGCGCGCGCGCTTCGCGCGCGCCTCGGTTCTAGTTGAAGTCACGGCCAAGTCCTGTCAAAAGTCGTCTGAATACTGTCTGTTTCCGTATTGTCATTTTGCTCATTTTCGCTCGTGTGTCGGTCCCTGTCTTTCCTCCTCCTGGTTTTCCGTTTTGGATTTCGTCCTGGGCATCCGTATCTTCGCGTTTCTCATCATCCTCTTCGGCACGTCGGCCGCTGGCGAAGATCGGCGCAACACAAAACAATAACAATTGCGACCCGGGGCGTTTTTTCAGGGAGGAAGAGGACGAGCCGGAGGAGAGCCAAGAGCCGGCAGCGAAGGAGAGACGACCGAGCGAGCGAGCGGGCGAAGGGGAAGGGGAGGAGAAGCGGCGACGGGAGGAAGGGCGGGGCGGACACGCAGGGGCGAAGGTCCGATGGAGGAGAGGGGGAAGGAGGGAAGAGGGGAGAGAGGAGAGGAGGACGAGAGGAGGGTGGACAAGAGAGGAAGGAAGGAAGGGGAGGAAAAGAGGTACGAGCGTTTGTCTGTTTTTTGTTTGAGGCGCGCGCGCGCGCGGCCGGACAGGAGGCTTGGAGGGTCGGGACGACGACAAAAACAAGAAAACACAAAACGTACAAAAAACCAACGGAAACCAATGATTTCGGCCTCTTGCAGCCCTCTTGGGAATGCTCTTGGGGCTCTCTTGGGACGTGCTGGAAGCCTCTTGGGCCGTCTGGGAGCCATCTAGGGCGTCTTGGATCGATCGTGGGCGTCTTGGTGTGGTCTTAGGCGTCTCGAGGCACGCTTGGACCGTCATGGGCGCGTCTTGGGGCAATGTTTGGAGCCTCTTGGGCTGTCTTGGGCGCCTATTGGGCCGTCGTTGGGGCCTCTTGGGCCGTCTTGGGGCTCTCTTGGGAGCCTCTTGGACCAGCTTGGGACGGTCTTGGGGGCCTCTTGGGCCGTCTTGGAGCGTCGGGACGACGAAAAATTGAGGAAGCCAAAAACCTGTAAAAGCCTGAAGGCAAGCAATGATTTTGTCTGTTTGGGTCCCTCTTGGGAATGCTCTTGGGGCTGTCTGGGGACGTCTTGGACGCAACTTGGGCCATCCAGGAACCATCCTGGGCGTTTTGGAGCGGTCTTAGGCGCGTCGAGGCACGCCTTGACCGTCTTCGACGCCTCTTGGGCCGTGTTTGCAAGCTCTTGGGCGGCCTTCGGCGCCTATTGGGTTGTTGTTAGGCCCTCTTGGGCCGTCTTGGGGCGCTCTTGGGGGGCCTCTTGGGCGATCTTGGGCGATCTTGGGACGGTCTTGGGGACTTCGTGGGCTGTCTTGGAGGCTCGGGACGACGAAAAAACAAGAAAGCAAAACACCTGCAAACAACCAACGGAAACCAATGATTTCGGCCTCTTGCAGCCCTCTTGGGAATGCTCTTGGGGCTCTCTTGGGACGTCTTGGAGGCCTCTTGGGCCATCTGGGAGCCATCTTGGGCGTCTTGGAGCGGTCTTAGGCGCGTCGAGGCACGCTTTAACCGTCTTCGACGCCTCGTGGGCCGTGTTTGCAAGCTTTTGGGCGGCCTTAGGCGCCTGTTCGGTTGTTTTTAGGCCCTCTAGGGCCGTCTTGGGGCGCTCTTGGGGGCCTCTTGGGCAATCTTGGGACGGTCTTGGGGACTTCGTGGGCTGTCTTGGAGGCTCGGGACGACGAAAAAAACAAGAAAATCAAACACCTGCAAAAAACCAACGGAAACCAATGATTTCGGCCTCTTGCAGCCCTTGGGAATGCTCTTCTTGGAGCTCTCTTGGGACGTGTTGGAGGCCTCTTGGGCCATCTGGGAGCCATCTTGGGCGTCTTGGAGCGGTCTTAGGCGCGTCGTGGCACGCTTTGACTGTCTTCGATGCCTCTTGGGCCGTGTTTGCAAGCTCTTGGGCGGTCTTAGGCGTCTATTGGGTTGTTTTTAGGCCCTCTTGGACCGTCTTGGGGCGCTCTTGGGAGCCTCTTGGGCGATCTTGGGACGGTCTTGGGGACTTCGTGGGCTGTCTTGGAGGGTCGGGACGACAAAAAACAAGAAAGCAAAAAACCTGCAAAAAAACAACGGAAACCAATGATTTCGGCCTCTTGCAGCCCTCTTGAGGCCTCTTGGGCCGTCTGGGAGCCATCTTGGGCGTCTTGGATCGATCGTAAGCGTCTCGAGGCACGCTTGGACCGTCTTCGGCGCCTCTTGGGCCGGACAAGGGCGCTCCCGGAGGACCGATCCCGCCATGGGGGGTTGGGGTCCCCGCCAGGGAGCCCCTGGCCCTGTAGCCTGGTATACATATATATATATATATAGAGAGAGAAGTAGATATCCATTGTCGGAAAATCGTCCGCATACTATGTTTAGACTAATTGGGAATACTCCTCCGGTAGAGGGACATGCCCGACTTGACACAAGCATCACCTGAAGGGACTCGGCCGTCCCACAAACGCTGGCCGGACCCTCCCGCCGATCCAGCCAGAGCAGGCGGGGCGGGAGGAGCGGGACGCTGGAGACTCTCTGGCCGCTCGCCCCCTCCCGCATCCCGGGAGCAGCCTGCTCCCGGGACAGCTTCAGACAGCCCGCCCCCCAGGCTCCTTTCGCAGGCCAAGAGGTTGATACCAACACCAATATCGGCGGTGTGCCTCCATCGAGGGGAAGAAGATCCCGATCTCGGTGACGGTGGTGATACTCTGGCTTCCAAGGTGGCCGAAATATTGCCACCAACACCGAAATCTAGGATCATCTTCCCCCTGTGGAGGCAACCCCCTGTGTTGGAGTTGGTGCCCATTTCCAGGCCTCCGATCCTTGGCGGTCATGCTGGCGCTGTCCCTCACGATTGCCCTGGCGATCGCGAAGCCCAGGAAGGCGCAGGCGGCCGCCGCGATGGGCCCCGGGTGCGTCGAGCGGGAGGACTCGGCGGAGACTTCTGCTGCCTTCGGGGGCAGACGCAAGCACACCTGCCTGCTCATCAAGTAGGGGAACAAAAAATGACAGAAACATAACAACTCGGAGGTCCGCGCGGATTTCTCGGATCGGCGCTGGGAGCCCCCCGGCGGCGCCTCCGGCGCCGCGCCTGGCGCGCTCCGCGCGCCAGGGAGGGGGGTCCAGCGCCGATCCGAGAAATCCGCGCGGACCTCCGAGTTGTTATGTTTCTGTCGCTCGTTGCTCCCCTATGATCATCAAGAGTTCCAAGGGGGCTGCTTTCCTCCTGCCGCACGGTGCCAATGACACACTCCGCGCAGCCACAAACCAGCATATGCGCCCCTCACCCTCCCCACCCGAAAGGCGGGGACCGGGCGGAGTCCGGCACGGCTCCGGGAGAGCTGCCCCTCGGGACAAGCGGAGCGGTGCGCGGAACAGGAGAGGGGAGAGGGAGGAGGGATCAGGGAGGCGGGAGAAGGCAGGAAAAGTGAGAGAGGCGGGAGGCGGGGAGGAGAAGCACGGAGGAGGAGTAGGAGTAGGAGGAGGAGGAGGAGGAGGAGGAGGACAAGGAGGGCCAGAGTGAACCCAAGAGTCATCAACGATGTTGGCATAAACCCTCCCTCCAAGCTCCCGTTTCATAGGCCCCTACAAGGGTTCATGTCCACTGAGGTTCATTTCCACTGAGGACGGAGGGAACTGCCTCGGTGGAAGACAACCATTTGAAGACCCTAAAGCATGCCAAAACATTGTTCTCGGGATTCCAACGCCACGGATCAACCTGACTGTTGCGTCTTGACGATCCTGAATCGCGCCAGAACGCCTTCCTGGGACCGAATCAACGTTAACTGTTGCACCCGCATAATCCAAAACCCTTCCAAAACACCGCTTCTGGTACGATGATCATGGGAATCCGTGAAACTCTTGCAAATGTAATAAACGAATGTGCGCGGCGCTATGGCGAGAGCTACATGTTGAAAACGAACCGCCGTCAATCAGCAAAACTCTTGCAACGTGTTGACACGAATGTGCGCGGCGCTTAGGCGAGAGCCGCATGTTGACAACAACTCGCCCTCAATACGCGGAACCCTTGCAAATGTTTGATACGAATGTGCGCGGCGCTAAGGCGACAGCCACATTTTGAAAACGACCCGCCCTCCATCTATGAAACTGTGGCCAACTTGAAGCTTCATAGTCATAATTGGTGAGAAGGTCTCGGGCGAAACGCCCAGCCCGCTCTAAAAACTGGCCTCGGGGTGCGACAGGGAGAAGTTATGTATAATGAAAAGGAATGGAGGAGGAGGAGGAGGAGGAGGAGGAGGAGGAGGAGGAGGACGAGGACGAGGAGGAGGAGGAGGAGGAGGAGTGATCTCTTCCCCCAGGAGTCCTTCGGCGCTCGCGGGCGTGGACGAGGGGGGAGGAGAAGGGGGGGAGAGGGGGCGAGGAGGGGGGGGGGAAGGAGGGAGGAGGGGGGGAAGGAGGAGGGGGGAGGAGGGGAGGAGGAGGGAGGGGGGAGGGGAGGAGGAGGGAGGAGCGAGGGAGGGCGAGGGGAGGAGGAGGAGGAGGGAGGAGCGAGGGAGGGGAGGAGGGGAGGAGGAGGGGAGGAGGAGGGGCGAGGAGGAGGGGAGGAGCGAGGGAGGAGGGGGGAGAAGGCGGGGGAGGGGGAGGGGGGCGGCGAGGGCGAGGCGCACCGGGCGGGCGGTCCGCAGGACCCGCTGGGCGCGCCCTCTCGCGCGCCCGCCTTCGCGGGGCTGCGCGCGTAGAACACGGGCACCGCCGCCAGCCTCCGCGGGGGGGGCGGGGCGCGGGGGGCGGGCGGGGCGGGCGCCCGAGAGGCGGCGCTTTCCCCGAGGGGGACGCCCCCGCTCCCCTCCCCCTCGGGAAGGCAGGCAGAGCGACGACGACGGCGACGACGACGAGGACCACGACGACGAGGACGAGGACGACGACGACGACGAGGACGAGGACGACGACGACGACGACGACGACGACGACGACGACGAGGACGAGGACGACGACGACGACGACGACGACGACGACGACGACGACGACGACGACGACGACGGCGACGACGACAGCGACGACGACAGCGACGACGAAGGGCGACGGTGACGGCGACAGCGACGACGCTCGTCTGGGTGGCAAACGAAGAGCGGCGGACACGACGACGGCAGCAACGGCGGCGACGACGGCGGCGGCGACGGCGGCGGCGGTGGCGACGACGACAGCGACGACGACGACGACGACGGCGACGAAGACGACGGGCGATCGACCGCCTCAGGGCCCCCTGGAGAGCGCCCGCGGGGCCCGCGCTTGGCCGCCGGAGTCCTCGGAAAACCGCGGGAGGAGGACGACGATCAGTCTGATGTGCCGCCGCATGCCGAGCTGGAAGCCTTCCAGAAGCGAATGAAACCTGACGAACCGGGGGGGGTGAAGAAGGCGCCCGAGGCCGCCCTATGCAGAGCTCGCCCAAAGCCACAAATCCGTCTCAACTGCCAACGCTATCCAAGCAACGGAGTTTGTCTCGCCTTTTCTCGAGTGCCCGAAGTTGGCCCCTGGCTCCCATGCAGTATGTTTCCGCCCTTGTGGGGCACCCGAACTTGGCGGGGTGCGAGAGGAGAGTAGCACTTCAAGCGGAGGGCAGAGGGGAACGGAGAAGGGGAAGGGAGATAGGGGGACATGGGGTAGAGGCGAGAGAGGGGAGAGAGGGGATAGGGGTATAGGGGGAGAGAGAGGGGATAAGGGGGGATAGGGGCCTAGGGCCTAGGGGGAGATGGGAGAGAGGAATGGGATGGAGGGACACGGGGACGGGGGAGAGAGGGGGGATAAGGGGGAGAGGGGAGGGCAGAGAGAAGAGTGGCATTCAGAGGGGAGGGCAGAGGGGAAGGGGAGAGGGGGGAGGGAGGGGGTCGCGCGCACGCGGCGGCCTCATGAGCGAGCCGTTCCCCGCGTCCTCGTTGGGCGCCTCGTACCTGGAGTGGCGGCTCCAACTCCGCCTCCACGTGTCCCCCATTGGAACTTCCTCGGCTTAGCCACGACTCGCCCGGGGAACTGTTCAATGGCGGCCAGCACGCAGACCTGGCAGTGCAGTTTGGTCGGTGATCCTCCTCCCCCTGCGTGCCTTTCATATCCGAAGAGCCTGG